TATTATTTATATTATATTATTATATCATATTATATTATACTATATTATATTATATTATATTATATTATATTATATTATATTATTTATATTATTCGAAATGACAAGTAAGTTTAATTATTTGTTATTCGCGGATAAGGTTAATTAAGTTCCTCGTCGTTCACGAATAAGAGATAAATTTAATTTGTTCGTTATCTGAAATTTTCGAATGAAATGATAATCTGCATATTCTTAAGGATATATAGGTAAATATAATACATAAAAATGATTAGTGATTTTAAACATTTTCTATGTGCGTTACAATTACAATTTAATTTATTGTATACAATGTCGCTGTTAAAAATCATATGAATTAGATTTTGCTCAAAATTAAGCTGTTTCGGAAGAATTTCGCGTTGTCATTCGAGGCCGTCCGAAATAAATCTCACGGATTCGAACTGTTACATTAACACCGATCGTGATCTATGATTCCATTCCAGTGTCGAACAACGTACCGCCGCAGTCAAGATTTCCAATCGTGGATCTGGAAAGTGGTACCAAATATGAGCTACGCGTGACGGCTTACAACAACGCCGGGTCCACGCAAGCTGAATACCTGTTCACCACCCAGTCGACGAACACTGGTAATCGAATGTATAACGAGGCCCCGCCGGAAACGGAGGAGTCCTCCCTGTTTTTCGATGCGCACGTACTAGCGCCGAGCGTGATCTCGCTCCTGGTCGTGTTCCTGGCTGTGGCTGGCATCTGCTTTTGCCTGAAAATACGTAAGTTCCAAATCTACTCGCGCCGTACGCCATACCTGAGCAATGGCTCGGTCTAATATACACAGTACGAAATGCATGAGTTCTTCGGTAATCGCGACGTATTCCGCATGAAACAGAGACGATCCTCACGATCTTCAAACGTGTGCAAATCATTGTGCCACTCGAGGGTTAAATACGAAATGTAGTCGCGGAAGATCAGCGTTTCGAGAGGCTGATTCATTCAACCCCTTGCAGTACGATTTCTTTCGTAGCTTCGTTGATTAGCGCTAGTTAATACTTGATGCACTGGAAATATTTTCTTATGGTTCTAATAATATAGAAAAATTGTTCGAAAACTAGGATAAACGGATCCATAATTCAGAAAATTGTACAAAGTAACAAGTTCTTTCGAAATTGTCATTTAAATGAAAATCGTCGAGCTTCTCTTGCACACGGTTCAGTCACCGAAAATTATTATTATTTTAATTAATATTTAATCAGTATAATATAAATTAATATAATATAATTAATATATATATTATATTGATTATACATTATATATACAATATAATATACAATACAATAATACAAATATATATTTATAATATATAATTATAATATATATATAATAATAATAATATATAATTATAATATTATATATATAATTTATAATATATATTTATAATATATATATAATATTTTAATTAATATAATAAGCTTCCGATAAATGAAGTGCTGATAACATCTCTGGTAGACTGAGACAATTTTTATTTCCCGTGTGTCTGTATTTACTTTCGTACAATTTTACATCGATCGAGAAAAAACAGACAACGTTCATATTCACTAAATTACTTATTCGACTTAATCTGACTCACGGTTCACGGGTCGATTATATAAAGTGTTGGCAGTACTGAAAATAACCGCAGAACAAAATGAATCATGACCCAACCAGTGTTAACAATAATTACATAAACAGCAACATGGAGGATCTGCTTGGGGAATTTCTTGAAAAAAATCGCAGTTCATAGACGCGTTCATTATTTATCAATTTTTCAACGGAATTGAAACTTGTAGCTTGAACGACAAGAGTCTAAACCCGGCCATTTTCACGTCGAACTCCCCGGACAGAAGACATCCTCTCGAGATCGAGCGAGCAGCCGTTAGCAGATTAAAAGCCATTGTAGAACTGTCGGAACAAGCGACGCGAATCGAACCCGGATATTTTCTGCGGAATTTTCTTTATCTCGAGACACGGTCCGAGCTGTCACAGCGCGGAGCGTGTTAAAGCCTGCGCTGGACGGCGGGGACGGTCCTCGGGTTCGCGTACACCGGGTACACGGAGCGTAGCCGAGACAGTTGACGCGGACACGGTCAAAGTTAGCGAGTCGGAGGATCGATCAGCCGGGGAACACACGCACCAGCGATCGATCGCGGTCGAAATTCAGCGGGACAAGTCTAAACGGCTGATCGAAGCCCCGAACCGACGACGTGTCGCCGACGTTCCGGGCGTGTAGATAGGATTTCACCGGCAACGGCAATTTGCATTAAGCCAGAAGGGCGTGACGGCACCGCGCTCGTGCTACTTGTCGTTATTGAGTAGCTAAACGTCGCAGGATTGTACTCCAATTACGAGAACTGCCACGGGAGAGCCTTCGGTGAGCGTGATATCGCCGCTCAAGGGGAGAAAATTGATACCCGCCATTCGATCTGCCGTTCTCCTTCTTTCCCAACCCCTTTCTTTTCCAGCCCCTTTCCCCTCCGCGTACAGAACGAATGTACAGTGCTGGACAAAAGAATAAGACGTTCGACATAATTCGTAATTGTTTATATTTTAGCGCAAGACACGTTCACTTTATACATTGTTTACGGGGTGAGTCGCTTAACGTTTGCTCCAGAAATATCTTTATTGTTCTTAACCGTAGGATGACGAAAGGTTTAGGGGTCGGACGAAAGCCGAAGCCGGGTCATATTTTACACGAAAACAAATTTCTTTATTTATGTATCGAAAGATCAATTTTTTGCTAGATTTATAGTTAAATTTATTAGGTTACTTGTTTTCAGTAACTTTTTTTCTTAAAAAGACGATATTGTATTAGAATAATGAATGGGTGAAAGGAAGGCAGATACACTAATTTTATTATAAATATATATATTTATAATAAAATTATATAATATATATTATTATATAATAAAAATTATATAATATATAAAATATATATAATAATATATATATATATTGATATGTTTACATAATATCATATATTATTTATTTATTTTTAAGTAAGAAGTATAGATATAGACATAACTATCTCTTTTCTTTACACAAAAATTTTTAAAAATAACTTTTCTCCTTGCTAATGCAGTGAACGTTAATACGTAAACAATTCGGGTCAAAATAGACCCAGCTTAGTTGGCTAGTTAGCTTACGATTAACGAGATCGAGTGGAATTTTTAACGTCGGATCGCGGACCTCGTAAGGCGGATCATTTTCACAACTGTACCATCGACGATGTTTATAACAATTCTAAGCTTTATTCAGCAATTTTTTAAAACATATTTCCGAAGATAGTCTCTCTATTGTTCCCAATGTAACAGCAATTTATTTTATTTCATTGCCGAAAGTTGTATAATTAAGCGAACGATTTAAATACCTTGGACGAAAATTGACCCAGCCACCGATTCCACCCGAGCCACCCAGCTCGACTTGCCCCAAAATGCGCGCTGACCATAAAAATTTCAAGGTAAACAACCGAAAAACCTTCCTCAAAGGGAGAAAATTGATACTCGCCATTCGATCTCTCGTCCTCCTTCCATTCTGCCAGCATACTTCGCCGACCCCTTTCTTCTCCAACCCTCTTTCCGCTCGGTGTCCGGAACACGCCGTTTTTTTTTCATCCCGGCGAACCGTTTTCGCCGCGACGAGCGGGGCCGATGTATCAACCCCCGGCGAAATTCGATTAATTAAAAGCTCCGTCAACGGGTCGACGGGACTCCACGCAATTATGCAACGCGCCGTTGACGTTAACAGGAGCGGAAACTCGAACGGAATCCGATGGTACGCGGAGAATGACACGACCGACAAACATTTACGCTCGCCGGCAGGCTCTTCGATGCCCGTGCTTTTCGCCGATTCGCTTTCTCGCGGAATCGTCGAAACTGAGATCTCTATTCCTCGAGGGTGGTCGCGCTGTTTGTCGGCTGTTTGTTCGCGTGTTTGTTTTACAAGGCTGTTTGTTCGTTCTTGAGGGTCCATTTTGTGCCAGAGTTACGAACGTAACATCGAAGTTCCGATTCTCAACGATCCTCTCACGCGATGAACATACACGTGTTGTAGCCACAACAACCAATTTATTGAACGTCCACATTCGGGCAGGTTGCGAAGACTCGTGGATGAGGAAGAAAGGGAAGTTCGAGAATAGTTGACAGGAACGATGAATAATAATAATCATATTGCGGATCCTTGTGCAGAATAAAGATTGTCATCATCGATTATAAATAATTCGCGATCGAATAGAAATTTCTTTTCTGTTTTACTAATTTCAATAATAATATGATAATAATAAGATAAACTAAGATGAAAGCGACACGTTGACACTCTTAAATTTTGTTATCGTTTTAAATTACACCTACTCGTTTTTGTCATAAATGCGTGAAATCCGCGGTCCTATAAGAATGTTTTAGGAAACGGAACGAATTCAAAGTTCGTTTTGCACAGTTTGTATCGTCCGTTAGGAGATAACACAAGTGCGGTTGATTAATTATTGTAATTACGAGATTGTTTGAAGTGTTAAGTCGCTGTTTGGACAGATGACATGCCCTCGCATGTACGACCAGATTCTCGTGACCAATTGTCAACGCGAGACACGCGGTGAAATTCTCCCAATAGCACGGTCTAGAATCACGTCGTGGCTTGAACATTTGGAAAACCGTTCGGGATCTGTTAATCCTTTAAAATGCAAACTTTTTGTGGCCGATCGCAATACAAACAGTGCAACATTAATTTTATTCGAAACTAGGAAATGTCAATTTCAAGATATAAATGACGAATTCGCAATCGGAAACAAATTTTAATAGGCTCGAGAAGTTAAAAAGGTGATCAGAACTTTAAGCAGCAAAATTAAATGATATAGCAATTTGAATATGAAGGGCGAGAAGCTAGCTACGCCGATATATGAGTGAAAATTAATCTGAAAAAATAGTTAATATGAGTGAAATTATCTTAACAATAACTTCGGTCATTAACCCTTGGGTGGCGAACCATTTTCACGACTATATAATTCATGACGTTTATAACAATTCTCAGCTTTAGTCAATTTTTCCAAACATATTTTTGGAGACGCTTCATACTGACTGTTGTTGCTATAGTGCAACATCCATTTATTTAATTGTATTGCCGAATGTTGACTAATTAAGTGACGATAGTTGATTAATTTGATTATTTTTATATTTCTGTTATTTTTATATATACCATAATTATGTTAACTCCCGGAAAGAGGTGATCCCTGAGGTCATTTGGAGTAACTTCTTCCTTAGCGAAAATGCACTCCGCGGCTTTGTTTACGAGTTATTAACGAAAAACACTGACCAATGACAGGCGAGCTAGCCTAGCACTAAGCACGAGCCAATCAGCGGAACTGGGCTTCGTTCGCTCGTTCGCTCGGCCGCCTTGCGCCAGCTGAGCTCGCCTCTCATTGGTCACCGTTTTCCGTTAATAACTCGTAAACAAAGTCGCGAATTGCATTTTCGCAAAGGAAGAAGTTACTTCAAATGACCTCAGGTATCATCCCTTTCCGAGTGTTAACACAATCATGGGAAACCCTGTATCCACTGGGTCAGAGTGACTCGGTAACCGCAGGCCGAAGGTTTAACAACGTTAACGTTATAATAAACAATAAGATTCCCTGTTTATTAAAATAAGGGAGATGACGGCCGGGAGATTTCGTCGGTGAAATTTCAATGATTAAAATGGATAATTTAATTTCGACAGATTGCTGCGCCCTTCCGTGTTTAGAAACCGTTCGGCATGTTTACAGATGCAGAACGGACCGGTCGAGCGAACGATCCGAACTCGNTTATAACAATTCTCAGCTTTAGTCAATTTTTCCAAACATATTTTTGGAGACGCTTCATACTGACTGTTGTTGCTATAGTGCAACATCCATTTATTTAATTGTATTGCCGAATGTTGACTAATTAAGTGACGATAGTTGATTAATTTGATTATTTTTATATTTCTGTTATTTTTATATATACCATAATTATGTTAACTCCCGGAAAGAGGTGATCCCTGAGGTCATTTGGAGTAACTTCTTCCTTAGCGAAAATGCACTCCGCGGCTTTGTTTACGAGTTATTAACGAAAAACACTGACCAATGACAGGCGAGCTAGCCTAGCACTAAGCACGAGCCAATCAGCGGAACTGGGCTTCGTTCGCTCGTTCGCTCGGCCGCCTTGCGCCAGCTGAGCTCGCCTCTCATTGGTCACCGTTTTCCGTTAATAACTCGTAAACAAAGTCGCGAATTGCATTTTCGCAAAGGAAGAAGTTACTTCAAATGACCTCAGGTATCATCCCTTTCCGAGTGTTAACACAATCATGGGAAACCCTGTATCCACTGGGTCAGAGTGACTCGGTAACCGCAGGCCGAAGGTTTAACAACGTTAACGTTATAATAAACAATAAGATTCCCTGTTTATTAAAATAAGGGAGATGACGGCCGGGAGATTTCGTCGGTGAAATTTCAATGATTAAAATGGATAATTTAATTTCGACAGATTGCTGCGCCCTTCCGTGTTTAGAAACCGTTCGGCATGTTTACAGATGCAGAACGGACCGGTCGAGCGAACGATCCGAACTCGCAAACGCAGGCCGCTTTAGAGAACAAACACAACATGGAGCAAAGGGAACAGTACTATGCGACCGTGAGGAAACCCGGCCAGCAGTCGCCCTGTCGCGAGGTGAGCGCGCTGGAAAGAATTCCCGAATATTCCGAAGACATTTATCCGTACGCCACCTTCAATCTGTCCGAGCAGGAAAATCTCTCGGCGAATCCGATACGACCGGCGTTCTACTACGAACGTAGCGAAACGATGCTGCAAAGCAATCAGGTATTAGCATCCTCTCGACGTTTCCTCTGGTCTCTCGCCTGACGCCCGGAGAACCGGTCTATCAAAGTCTCGTAGAACAGAACACAAAACTGCCCGTGGACTAAATTAAACAGACAGCGAGGAAGTATTACGTCTACTAAGCGGATTTTACGAGTTCATAATATCCTTTATATTTTAAATTTGGACAAGGAAACCGTTTAACGTGGCTTCGGTGAAATATGATTACAAGACTGCGGATTTTACACGGTTATGGCAACATTAAATCGTTGTAATTTAAAAAATAGTAGAAAGATTATAGAAGTATTTTAAAATGTTTATTTTTTAATATATTACAATTATTACGGGAATGAAGAGCTTGCTATTTAGATTCCATTTGTAGCAGTTGATGCAGACAGCTTTCACTTTCGATAAAGATCCGCAGTCTGATGATTATAGATTTATAAAGAAAATGTTCGATTTTGTTTCCTGTAAATAATTTGATTTATATGAGAATATCATGTCTAACGGACAAATTCGTAAGAATTTATGTTTGCGCAAATATTCGGTGTGATCCGACAATCGCGTTTCCCAGAAATGGTGCTTCAGATTTAAAAATCAATTCATTAAACAAGTCATTTTAATGTAATTTATTCGAAATGGTATCTTCGATTGAGTGGCCTGAAAACAATCTAATATACGCCTCGATCATCGAATAGTGTACTCCGTGTATTTTTGGAATTTTTCGATAATCCGATTTTTCACTGCAACCATCCTGCCTGTCAAGATAGCGGATTTGAACCTCGTTGCAAAATGTTATTTTTCCTGGACGTGTTATCGAACGTTTCATCGTCAATCTAATTTGATTGAACGTTGTTTCGACGTTCGCTTCCTGATATAGTTTTTTTGAAGAAAATGTCTGAAATCGCGGACGACGATTAATTGCCAAATATCGAAAAATAAAATGGAATGGAATGAAAACACAAGAAAATTTTGATTGGTATAAAATCGTTTTAGAATCACAAATTACTTTCCTATGAAAACTGGAAGAAAGATCTGCTAACTTAGTATTCAACTGTACCAATATGGAAGTGTACAGATAGCATAATTATATTTTATTAATGTTTTATTATTTAATAGCCTAACAGTGCGCGATAGTACATAGTTCAGGGTTAAAAATTCAAATTAGAGCATGCAAAACGATATAACGCTGGATTTAAGTATAATTTAATGGGATATTGTTATTGGCAAAAATGTATACGACAAGAATATGCAATCTTGAAAGTACCATAATTACAATCAGTCAGTGAATCAAGCAAAAGTTTAAGTTACATAAATGAGTATACACTTTAATTAAAATTGTATTATTATCATGGCCAGAGTAATTTAGTAGAATAGCGAGTTGCTATTTACAACTAAACCATGTAGTAGATACAAAAGTGTCACGATTTGTGCAGTTGATTTATCAAAATAGATATTCTTTATTAAATTGTTTTAGTATCTTACTCGACAATATTCCATTGTCTACAAACAATAAGTTACTAAATTACAAGTATCTGAACCAGCCTGAAGATTTTATTTGTTACTATTGAATTGTGAAAAAGGTCTACTTGATCAGAAAAACCCTTGAAAATGGATCTTCGCTCACTTCACTTAATTGTTTAAATAACCCACTCGACTAGATCTTAGTGTCCACGCACAATAAATTACTAAATTACAATTGCCAAAATCCGCCATGAAAGACAAAATATTTGCATACTGAAGGATCGAAAAGCGACAAACGTGATTGAGAATTGACTTTGATAGACCGAGGGGACTTCTCGTCTCGTTGTTTCTGTCTCTGGTACCGGAGTAGACGCAAGACCACAGAAAGCCACGTGTCCCTAACTTGTAAACGTTGCAGTGCGACATGGACCAGTACACAAAGGTTCGCGGCCGAGCGCGTCGCAAACTGAAGTCCTTCAAATCCGAATCGGAAGAGTACGACACCCTGGGCTCGGACACCGAGACGGACGTCGGTAACAGCAGTCGCACCGAGTCCTCGAACCACCAGGACGACTCCCGGCCGGCGTCGAAAAACTCGATCGGCCAGAGGAAGCAGCTACTAGCCCTGGTCCCGAAGCAGGTTCATCATAGTAAGTTAGTATTCGATTTTCTATGTCGACGCCGCCAACAGCCTTAACAGCATCCGGTCGCCACTAACGACTCACCTTTCTCGCATCAACGTCTCGCGTGCACCTTCCAGATGTGATGTACCACACGAACGAATCGAGTACATCAACCGAACCGTCACCAATTTCTGAGAGGAAGACCTTCCCGAGGCTCGAGAAGCAAAGGTAAGCAGAACCGTCAGCTTGCTATCTAGCAGACAGCGAATCTTCGAAGTCTACTAATACCGATTGCGGATTAACTGGACTGCGGATTTTATGCGTTTATGCAGAAAATGGAAAAAAACTCCAAGAATACCGATATCTCAACTTATTAAAATTATTTAACAGTAAACCTACCGAACCCTTTTGTTTTATAGCGATGAGAAAGATTGCAGATTTTTGTGTGAAATAAAACTTGTCTGTACGAATTGTAAAGTACAGAAGTTAAATAAAAATGTATTTCTTCCTTTAACAGTCCTAGTATATTTAAAATAATGTGATAATATTCTGGGACCCTTCTAATGTGTTCATTATTCTATATTTTACTTTTCCATTTTTGTCACAAATGCATAAAATCCGCAGTGTATTTATAACGATGAAAAGATTGTATTTATGCAGACTTCTCGCTATTTTTATTGTAATGTACGATTGGATTAAGAAAATTCGATCATTCTCTATGAAAAAGTTTTTATAAATTCAGCAACTTCAGAGCAATAAATATGGAACCGGTTAAAATGGTCGGCGTGGTAGGTTTAGTGTTAAAAAATTGTTATTGGAAATATAAATAACGATTCGGATTCGTCGAAGTACGGCAAGAGGTTTATGAAGCATGTGAAAATCTAAATTAAATTAGTTACAAACTGGATCGAATAATCGAATAACAATATTATCGAATAATAATATTACTGAAAAATAAAATCGAATAACAATATCTATACTCGGGATCCGTGCATTAACTATGAAACAGTAAACAGTAAGAATGCGGTTGCATCGTTTTCCACTCATTAAACGTCTACTTAGCTTCCGTAACTAGCAATTAATGTTGACAACAATTCTTTTACCTGAAAACGTGCAGTTCATTCGCCACGTTTCTGTTCTCCAATTGTCAGATTATGATTAATTGTCGCATTTCCGTCGCGCATAATTCAGAAGAATATAATGTTCGAGCACCTCTTCTTAGTCAATCATGCCAGTTTTCGACCTCGTAACGTCTACCATGGCAAACGCGTTTCTCTTGATTTACTTTTTCATCTTTTGGTTACACGCGATATATTCGACATTTGCATTTATATTAAACTCCGAACGTAGCGGGCTTCGCCCGTTCACAAAAGCTTTCAACTCCAAAAGCCACGGCGCGAGGACTCATGAACTTGTTAGAATAATAATGCTTATCGAAATGATTTATCGATCGTCGAAATCGACCGATCCATCTGCAGTCGATCCGGCAGCAAACTCGTTTGCACACAAAAAATTGTACCTTCTACCATGTAGCATCGAAACTTTCGATATGAAAACCGGGAATGTCAAAAAGGCTGATCAAAAACTAGCATGCAGTTTGCGCATTCCTTTTGGAATTGCATTTATCACGAAACAAATAGATGAAATATGAAACATGATTTTGGACAAAATTCGAAATTCTCTTGTAAACGTCAAATTATTGATTCGGAGTAAGGGATACAAAATTAGTAATTAAAATGTTACGAATTTCTCGAAATATCCTGATTCGCTGTTCTTACGATCAGATTCGCTTATGCTGATTTCCAAATTATCAACAAATTCTTCATCCAATTGAATCTTCTTCTTCGTCTGTAAGAACATGTTCAATTTCAGGAAACTCTTTGCCGATCTTCTATTAACCCTTTGCACTCGAATGGCGACTCTGTGGCGCCTCTAAAAATTGTTATACTATTTTTCAAAATCATTCCAAGAATATCAGACTCATTTACATTTTTAAAAAAAAGATATTAAAATTGCATTGTACTTGCCAATAAGCTAAATTTCATATGCATAAATCGCAATAAATTATATAAAATAGAAATACCGTAGATCAGAAATCATGTTTTCGATTTCGAATTCAAATAGCTTCGACTGCAAAGGGCTAAAATCATTTCTCGAAGTATCCAGTGTTGATCGCAGCAAACAACCATATAACCATGCAATATAATCTGCAATAATCTATTCCAATTACCTAGCAAACGAATGTAGAAAAACCCAAAGAGTAGACAAAATTTACGAAGAGATGTTCAAAGCCATTTTCGTAGCCACTTACGACGAACTCTATTTTTTAACGAATATCAAATTTTCCGGAGGAAAGATACACTCGCATCAGTTAAATAAAATATGGGATACTATAATTTCTGACGTTTAATTTTTCAAAACGAATTGGACGTCTGGGGAGAGGGAGCCGGCTTATTAGGCTAGTAAGAATGAATAACGGAGGGTGAACGGTCGATCCTGACCTAGATAGGAAACGGTCGAGGGAATCGATTGACGGGGTGGTTGATGGGACCGGTATGTCGAACTTGCAGGAATCATGGAGCAACGCCCGACATGGGGATAGACGGTCGCGTGCCGGGTATCTTGCGGCCCGTGATGAAGCTCTCGGAATCCGGGATGCATTGTTACTCAAGGGGAGCGTCGCCGAGCCGGCCAGCGAGGCCTGGTTCCTGCGACAGGCTGGTGAAAGAGCCGAGCCCAAGGAAATCCGTGGAGTCGTTGTGCCTGCTGGAGGAGCCCGGATCGTTCAGGCTTGCAAGACGGGAAGAGGATTGGGGCAGCGAGCTGTCTACGTTGGAACTGAAGCCGCCGACAGGTTTCACGGACGCGCACGAGACCAGCGAGGCCGAATGCGACATCGACATGAAGCTGAAGCTCCACAGGAAGAGGACGGGTTTTCCTTCTAACTCGCTCTCGAAATCGCCCAAAGACTTCACTATCACTGTCTAAGTGTTAATCAAATATCGAATGCAAAACGAAAAAAAAACGTACGAAATGCGAAACGGAATATTTATAAAAAAAAAAAACGAAGATACGGTATACACACACGCACGTAAACGAGAAACGATAAGAAACCAAAAGTAAAATAAATAAATAAAAAAAAACAATACCAATTTAACGAATATAAAGCTGCCAAGCATGATGAGTGTTAATTCAAAAGAAAACGATATAAAAAAAACAAAAAAAAAACGCAAAAAACTCGTAAGTATGAAACTCGAGATACTTCCTCGCCGTTGAGATTGTCGGGATCCCCCAACGCTTCTCTGTGGATGGATAACTGTCTTTCCGTGTAACTATCGTCGACGATCCATTTACAATAAAGAGGTATTTTTGTAAGTAAAATTAAACAAACCCAGACCAGAATTCTTCTTCCCTCGGGACTGTTGTCCCCACCCACCGTTGGATCCTCGCGCCGTTCGCGTGCGCGGAATATTGCCGCTAACCCGAAGCAACAAATTGCAGAAGGTAGGTTGTCGATTCACGATAATTCGAGGTACACTAAAAAATATCAAACTTTTAACCCCCTGCAATATACAGGGTGTCCCAAAAATGTCTCGCAATCCGAAAGTAGGGGATTCCTGAGGTCGTTTGAAGCAACTTTTTCCTTAGCGAAAATGCAATCCGCGGCTTCGTTTACGAGTTATTAACGAAAAACAGTGACCAATCAGAGACGAGATCATTTGGCGCGAGACGGTCGAGCCAATGAGCGGAACTGAGCTCCGTGCACTCGTTGGCTGGGCCGCCGCACGCCAGCCGAGCTCGCCTCTTATTGGTCAGTGTTTTTCGCTAATAACTCGTAAACGAAGCCTCGAAGAAAATTTTCGCAAAGGAAAAAGTTGCTTCAAATGACCTCAGGAACCTCTCATTTTCGGGACATCCTGTATAACATCGTGCCAGACCCGTGACGAAGATTTCCGACAGAACGTACGAAATCGAAATACAATTTCATTCGGCGATTATCAATACTTTAATAATTGAAATTAACGCGAAGACACGATATAAATATAAATTTTCCTAACTTTCTAAGAATTCTTTAACGACAGAGAACTTGTAATCAGCGTGGAAGTGTAAGATATCGCGGAACAATAAATAAATCCCGATTATTCGGTCGAGTGATTGTGTCGAAAATTTCGGAAAATGGCAGGTTTTAACGAACGATAATCGTGGTGCGCTGAAAATGAGAACGGACTGTTAAAATCTATTAAAACCGTGCGCGTTTGGACCGCGTTCGAATGAATTTACGGTTTTGGCAAGATGATTGCACGCCGAAACGACAATTCGTGGCTATAGACGCAGCCATAAACGACGCGTCAATCAGCTTAATTACACACGCTTATCAGGTACATGTCAGTCGCATTTCCGTGAGGCAGAAATACGATCCTGGACTGTATCTCGAGCTAGAGTTACTACGTGCGAGGGTCGATAAACGCGCCGGTCCAATCGATTGATGGCGAAACACCANATTCCTGAGGTCGTTTGAAGCAACTTTTTCCTTAGCGAAAATGCAATCCGCGGCTTCGTTTACGAGTTATTAACGAAAAACAGTGACCAATCAGAGACGAGATCATTTGGCGCGAGACGGTCGAGCCAATGAGCGGAACTGAGCTCCGTGCACTCGTTGGCTGGGCCGCCGCACGCCAGCCGAGCTCGCCTCTTATTGGTCAGTGTTTTTCGCTAATAACTCGTAAACGAAGCCTCGAAGAAAATTTTCGCAAAGGAAAAAGTTGCTTCAAATGACCTCAGGAACCTCTCATTTTCGGGACATCCTGTATAACATCGTGCCAGACCCGTGACGAAGATTTCCGACAGAACGTACGAAATCGAAATACAATTTCATTCGGCGATTATCAATACTTTAATAATTGAAATTAACGCGAAGACACGATATAAATATAAATTTTCCTAACTTTCTAAGAATTCTTTAACGACAGAGAACTTGTAATCAGCGTGGAAGTGTAAGATATCGCGGAACAATAAATAAATCCCGATTATTCGGTCGAGTGATTGTGTCGAAAATTTCGGAAAATGGCAGGTTTTAACGAACGATAATCGTGGTGCGCTGAAAATGAGAACGGACTGTTAAAATCTATTAAAACCGTGCGCGTTTGGACCGCGTTCGAATGAATTTACGGTTTTGGCAAGATGATTGCACGCCGAAACGACAATTCGTGGCTATAGACGCAGCCATAAACGACGCGTCAATCAGCTTAATTACACACGCTTATCAGGTACATGTCAGTCGCATTTCCGTGAGGCAGAAATACGATCCTGGACTGTATCTCGAGCTAGAGTTACTACGTGCGAGGGTCGATAAACGCGCCGGTCCAATCGATTGATGGCGAAACACCAGGTTTAATGGGATTCTCGTCGAACTTCGAAGCAACTGTTATTTCCAAAAATATTTTACATTCAACTTGTACTCCTATCGATGAATTTCGTTCTACATAGGCTTCAACGATACATCTTTCAGCAGATATTCGGACCGCAGCACGCGGGACAGCACAGTTTCGGGCAGATCAACGTTCAATGACTGCAAACTCATCTCCATGAACGGATTAACTGTTCTTTCAGCTCGAACTCCCGTTTGAATCGAATTATCGGAACACAGCGTCTTATTGTTCTCCCGCGGAGACAATTTCTCTGTACGAAGATCCTCCGAAACTTGCGCGTTGTCGGCTCTCTCGCGCGTCCGAGTTCGCGTACAGATCTCATCCTTGATATCCTTGACATCTTTGCTGTCTCTCCTAGTCTCCGGCAAAGGTTCCTCGTCGTCCATCGCGTCGAACATATCGAAAGACTGTACATTCAGTTTCTTTATTATTTCCGCCATGTCATCCGTGGACGGAAGCACGTCGTTGGATCCGGACTCGACGTTCCTGAAATTTCGTTCTGCGCTGCTAATGTAACCCTCCAGATAATCCTCGATCTCAGATTTCTGCGACTTCGCTGGAACTTCGCATGAATTCCCTTTCTTCAAATTTGGCGTCGACTTGCTGCTCGGTCTGGCGACGCTCTTCCGACATTGCTTCATTCCCAGCATGCTTCTGCCGGCTGAGTACTTTTCTGTGGACAAGCCTGCGTAAGATCCGTGAGGGAGAAGAGCGTTTTTCGTAACATCGTCCACTGTCCTCGCGTTAGCAGGCTTCGCGTAAGGTGCTGCTTTCGGGAACAGCGCTTCTTTGATCATGTCAGCCTTCTCCTGGAACGATGGCTCGGACGATTCCAGCACCTTCATAGCGCCTCGTTGCAGGTACTGATTCGCTCTCGGATCCAGGTACGATTTTTGTATTCGCTCCAACTCGCGCGTCATGTCGTCCAGCGTCTCGTACAATTTTTTCGACTTCGAATTGCTGAGGAAAGTCTTTATTTTGGAGTCGCCGCCGTGCGACCTCAATGCTTGCCAGTCGGACTTCACCTTTTCTACCTCGCGATCTATGTCGCCGATGAGATTCCGTTTCCCTTGGGCACACAAAAATCATTTTTGCCAATTCGAAGTAAGTTTAACGGGGAGTTTTACTGGCCAATTAACAAATAATTGCTTTTCAATGTTTTCCATTATCTTTCTGTTGTGTAAACTAATAAAGAGAGGGCAAGGTTTTGGCGTATCACCGATTTGGTTGAGACTTTGTACATTTGTAGATCTCGTTCTTCTGTTTATGAATAGAAACCATTGTAAGTTCAATCAAATAACTTGAATTTTTTAGCTATTAAAATGACCAGTTCACCAGACGAGGTCTAACGAAATTGATTGCAGAAAGTAGAATAGAATGGCAAAACATTGCAAACGTTTTTTAACTTTTTGACCTGAGTCTACGACGAAACTTTAAACAGTGCATTTTGTAGTTATTGGACATTTATGCAGTTAAAGGGTTAAAAGAATGTTAACTTTTATTTCTTCTGCCAATCAAAATAGTTGAAGCTTTTGAACAAAAATTTGTTTAGCCATTATCTGGTAAATTAGACCCTCTAGTATCTCAAAAAAATTCAAATTACTTGGTCCAATTTGAAAAAAGTTTCATTATTGCAATTAAATTATTGTCACATCCAGTGTACTATGCTTAATAGTAAGTTTAATAGTATTCTAATTTAGTAGCAAACTTTATCTGCACCTGTAATGGCGTATATTCGTAAACAGGAGATCGACATTCGTAAATATACAGGGTGTCCTGTAATTATGGGATTCCTCAGGTCATTTGAAGTAAATTTTTCTTTAGCGAAGATGCAATCCGCGGTTTTGTTTACTAGTTATTAATGAAAAGTCGTGATTTTCATTATTTTTCATTAATAACTAGTAAACAAAGCCACCGATTGCATTTTCGCTAAGGAAAAAGTTACTTGAAATGACCCCAGGATTTATTATTATCAGTCGAAATGATAAAGAATAAAAGTAGAAAATCTTGCGCTCCTCACCACGACTTCTCGGCAATCGCTGCTCCGCCTCTGTTTCTTGACATCCTATGTCAGGCAAATTAGTATTTTTCTTGGAACTTGCAACGTCCCCTTTTTCCGCGTTGACTGTTGCCAAACCGCGTCGGAATGGCAATTTTGGTAGCGTGGTGGCAGAATGTTCGTGGCTTTGTGCGAGGTTTAAACATTTCGTAGGATTATCTGCACAGGATAACATTGCGAATAGTTCATGAAAATGGTATTCCTAAATGGTATACCTAAAATGGCATTTCAGGTACTCTATTTTAAGGTACTTCGTACCTCCTTGACCAACATTGGACGAATTTTGACCACCCTTCGGTACTTTCACGCTGAAGGAACCTTTCGACGTCGCGAACGGATCGAACTGGTATACAAAATTGTGCGTCGCCGACACCTTTGTCGTTGCTCTTTTTATGTTTCTTTGTGAACTTTCTGTGGACTTTTAACAGTTTTTGAGAAATTAGACTCGACGAGCCTAACCTTAACAAACAAAGCCCACCAAAATGGATTAAAGCAAATAGCTCGTATCCGAGTAACCGCGCAAGGCCTATCGACCATTTGTTGACGAAGCAATTGCGTTATCTGTTTACAAGTTTTACGAATTAAACACGCGGGTCCGATGACGCCAGTACGGCGGCATTCGTCCCCAATGGATTAAAAGAACCAGCGGCAATAAAACCAATTCTACCGATATTCGTTTTCGAGTAATTTCCAAAATGTAATGATTCTACTTGTTGTAATAGAAAGCAAATAACTTTGTTTAACTTCCATCCTGGTTCAGTGGAACGCGTCCTCTCGCGTGTAGATGATTGTTTTATCTTGTATTGCTCCACGTCTGAATCGGTTCTTTCGCGGTTGGTCGTCAACAGCGATTTCGCCGATTCTTTGCGGTCGACTTTAACGAAACGGGGCCTAAAAAATTTGCTTAATCAGTTCTACACAGATTCTCAGTAACAGTATGCGTGTCCTACGATTATAACAGTCTCACTGATTACTTTTTATTGGTTTGCTTGGTCAGTGTCGTTAAACGAGGCCTGATTGTACTTAACAGGTTGAGTGCCGCGTCGATCACATTTTTAACTAGGTTTTGACATTCATTTTTATTATGATATATGTATTCGAATAAACTGGATGCTACTAGGATTTTTTAGAATACAAAAGAAACAAGCTCTTAACTATCTACTTTCGATTTCATTGATTAAATGACTTTGATACTGTGGGAATTTTGGAATACTTGTGGTCGATATTCGGCACTTAACGTGTTAATTAACAAGATACAGTGTACACATCAATCAAAAATAAAATCGTACTTGTCGTAAAGATGGGCGCGTGCGTATTCTGCGACAATCCGTTCCGGACTTACTAAGTGCTTAAAATTAAACACAACGGTATCCCCCTTCTTGAAGAAGATTTGCCCGGCGGACACCGATTTTTTCTTGCTCGAGCACCAAATGGATTTACACAAGTTCTTGTATTTTCTGAAACGTAATCATCTCGAACAGTACATTTACTACTACAATTCCTGCATCGTCCTAACGCTTATCGCAGTAATAATGAATGAATTTTATTGATTTCCTTACGGATTACATGGGTCCACCTTCTTTATATAGATAAAATAATAGAGAAAATAAAATATAATAGAATAAAATGCAATAAATTCAACTCGCAAATAAAATACAATAATTTACGCAACGGATTTAAAATTATGCTATCGTTAAACTATCAATACTATTATTGTCTGTCGCAGTAATAATTAATACTTTCACCGAAAGAATCTTAAAGAAACATGTAAGTACTTGCTGTGCCGACTGGGCAAGTTCGGATCTTTTAATTTATTAGCCTTGTGTGCCTGCTCTTTTATAGGTACCCGTTGTTCCGTAGCTCCGACAAAAACTGACAATCCGTTGACACGTTTGTCCTTACGATTTTGTCCGGTCGACGTCGAGGCGTCGAGATTCAACGGCAAAAATGTCGGGCTGCTGTGCGATTTCCTGCAATGTGGAAACTCTCCGACAGTTTTCGCCAGTTCTAGGAACAATCTATCCCCGAGTTACGACTTTTCAAACGAAATGCTATGATGCTAAATGCTAAATGATAACCTGTACAAAACATGTTCTGTCAAAAATAATGTTCGTCTAAAACAAAATAAAGGTGGTCACTGATGTGCTTTTGGTCAACGCCGCTTGACCTCGGTCATTTTTCTAAAAAGAACGATCACTCGCACGTTGAATGCTAGCTCAAACTTTTGCGAAACGTCGTTCTGATTGGCTGACGATTTACTGCTGAGACAACGCTTACTATGGATTGGATGTGCAGCAAAGTGGAGGGGATAGAAATGCTTGCTTAGAGGGGAAACAAAACGTGGCATTGCGTTGTAAACGAATTTCGCGAATTTAATTATATTGTATTTCAATTACGTTGTAATCCAATTATGTTGTATTTCAATTACGTTGTAGTCCAATTATATTGTATTTCAATTACATTGTAATCCAATTATATTGTACTTCAATTACATTGTAATCCAATTATATTGTATTTCAATTACATTGTAATCCAATTATATTGTATTTCAATTACATTGTAATCCAATTATATTGTATTTCAATTACATTGTAATCCAATTATATATATATTGTATTCCAATTACGCTGTAATTCAATTACATTGCTCAATCCATTTCATTAAATTATATTAATTAGGAATGTAATTCAAATACAATGCAATCAGATTACGGGTCAGAGCTTTGAAGAATTGAGATACATTTTGAAATTTTTCTCTCGTATACTCATTTTTTGTCTCTTCTGCGTATTTTCGTCTCTCCGTAATTTTAATTCAATTACATCGTAACTAGCAATTAATATAACTTAATTACTTGGTATTTGTAATTCTACTCCAATCGCAGTCACAAATTGTAATCTAATTGAACGGAGATCTGACTTACGAATTACAATATGATTGAACCACAATGTAAATCAATTATTTCGTAGTTCCATTCCTCGAGTAATTCAATTATAATTCCGCAGAACTCTGAAGTCCAGGTTTCGCTGTATTTTTCAAATACGCCATCGGAATGCCGCCGCTTACGAGAAACATTCGACAATGCGTGCGACAGGAAAGTTTCAGCATTCCCCTAACCCCATGCCTTCAAAATTCTGTTCCGACCGATAGAAAATGTGCTTTAATCCCGTCGTCATCTCGCCGATTCCCCGTCCCGCGACACCGTAATATCGTGACAATGAATTCGGTTTGGCTGACGTCCCCGTTCGTTCAGTTCGACACCGAGAATCTCATTTACAACGAGACCCTGTGCTCGGAGGCGCACTTCCTGAACAAATTCTCAAGGGATAAGTACAAAACCGAGCAACAGAGCTCGTCGACGAACAACGACCGGCACGGGAACTTCGACATACTCCCCGACTATCCCGCCAAGTCAAATTTATTCGCGAAGAAACCAGAACAGATCGAGGAGATCGAAGAAAATGTTACGATCACGGTGAACGCTCGACGAGAGACGGCCAACTCCGTGATTACCGGGGCCCTGAAAATTGACTCGAAGATATCTCTGAGGAAGGCCGAGCCCAGAAGCACGCTCTCGGAGACCAATCTTCATTCACGGGAAGATCAATGGGCGCGAGCATGCAAGACGACAGAGAGCAGAACCATCGGAGACCCTCTTCTCAGCTGTCCCTTCGAGCTGGTGCAGATTTATCCTGGAAACAAAGAGAACATCTCCGACCTCGGTAGAACCTTTTCCGACGTGAGCCGAGAGGGCAGCTCGATGATATGTTTCCCGAAAGAGGATCCGAAATCGTCGAAGCCCGCTGCTATCGAGGAAGACGCGGCTTCGTTGTCGAAGGTGAAACGTGGCCACGACGAACCCGAGAAGAACGAGCCGCCTTTGTCCAGCATGCAGAGTCGGAGAAGCTTGAAACAAGCTTCGAAATCGAAGCCTGCGGATCTCGAAAAGAACAGCGAAAGCCTCCAAGAAGATGTAAGCTCCAGTTCGTCGTCCGACGACTTCGAGAAGTCGCGTTCGATGAAAGGAAAGAGAAGTCTGCCGAGAGAGGCTTCGAGGAGGGCGTTGAAGAAAACCGAGAAGCTCACGAATTGTCTTGAGCGCGAAACGATAGCTGTTGCACGTGTCGAGTCTGAAAAATCGCTAACGGAAGCGGCAGATTTCGCTACGGTGAAAGAAGACCGAAATGTTGAAGTAATCGCGTCGTTGGATGCAAGTGTTCGTAACGCCGACGTGTTCGATGATTATTCTGTGAAATCGAGCGACAGCAAAGTCAAGAAATCCACGTGCGATCCGTCTAGTATTTTCGACGTTTCGGGCGTTGGCTGGTTTACCGGAGACAGCACGGTGATCGACGCAAGCAAGGGAACATTGAGTCCTGAAATTAGAGGTATGGAGGAAAATTTGAAGACGGTTGCTGGAAGACTAGAGCAAGGAACGAATGTTTTGAACAGAATGGAAACGATGCGAGCGAATGACACGCGAAATAGTGGAAATGGAAACGTTGAGAAGAACATTATGGAATACGCTGTCGATGATACCAGCAGCGGGACAATCGGAAAGGAAGAAGAGAAGTTCGGCGTCGATTACGGCGATATCAAAATATGCAATTTGTTGTTGATAATTCACAAACAGTTGTACATCAATTTCCAGAAAATGGAAAATATTTGGATTCAGTTACAGGACACGAGTTCGCTCGATTCTGTGCGTTCGACGGTGCCTATGCGGCTTCTCGTCAGAATAATTTCCAGGTATAGAATTGAAATAAAGATTCCTCCTTTCAATCTTGAGTTTGGAAATTAGTCTCCTTCTGATTTGACATCATTTTTCTACGCAGGTGCAAAAGTTACATTCACGATTCACAGGACAGTTACGCAGCTGAGTCAAAGATCGCTAAAACTTTGTTGAGTTTGGTCATCGATCTGGCGAAAGCAGTGGATCAGAACAAGCTTGTTGTGGAAAAGCAAGGTAACATGTTATATCGTTTAAAGAGAAATAGAAATGTTTAGCTCATCGTTAACGCTTTGGTATTAACATTCTCGCAACGTAGAGCAACAGATAGACAGCATCCTGTTGAAACTGTACCAAGAAAAGAATTTGTACAGAAAAGTGAGTTATAAAACTTGAATTGAAATCGCTTATCTATTTTGTGAATTGTAAAACGTGGATTGGAGTCGCTTATTTATTTTACGAATTATAAAACTCGGATTGAAATCGCTTATTTATTCTGCGAATTATAAAACTTCAATTGAAGTCGCTTATTTATTTTACGAATTATAAAACTCGGATTGAAATCGCTTATTTATTCTGCGAATTATAAAACTTCAATTGAAGTCGCTTATTTATTTTACGAATTATAAAACTCGGATTGAAATCGCTTATTTATTCTGCGAATTATAAAACTTCAATTGAAGGCGCTTATTTATTTTACGAATTATAAAACTCTCGGATTGAAATCGCTTATTTATTCTGCGAATTATAAAACTTCAATTGAAGTCGCTTATTTATTTTACGAATTATAAAACTCTCGGATTGAAATCGCTTATTTATTCTGCGAATTATAAAACTTCAATTGAAGTCGCTTATTTATTTTACGAATTATAAAACTCTCGGATTGAAATCGCTTATTTATTCTGCGAATTATAAAACTTCAATTGAAGTCGCTTATTTATTTTACGAATTATAAAACTTCAATTGAAATCTCTTATTTATTCTGCGGATTATAATAAGTAGACACCGGATTCTGCGCATTTATGACAAAATTTAGTAGCTCCAATATAAATAGTGCAAATATTAAAATCAATTTAAAACGTGAATGCATTTTTTTTAATCTATTAAGATGATTAAAAATTATATTACTTGCTACACTTTCGGTTTCAATTCCCAGCGATTGATTCAGTCAATTTTTATTTTGCCTAAAAATCCGCGATCAAATGATAAGTAATTACTATGTTCTTAGAGAATAATGATAAACGAAGTCGTGTCGTTTTGGGACCACGGGCTTCGCGAAATATGCGACATAATGCAAGATATTCTGGATAAGATGAAAATCGTTACAGTCGAGACCGAAGAGAAGAAAAATGTTAGAAACCCAAGGCAATTAAGTTAATCCACTTAATAGAAATTACAGATATTACTACAAATTTTACTGATCTCCTTCGAACGCTTTAAATAACGTTCACTAATTTTGTGATAAATCATCGTGAAATTATCATTAAGCTTTCGAAGAATTTTCAGCGGCCACGAACACTTTTAATTTGCCAACAAACATTTCTAATTGCCAAAGTTCCAGGCGGAAAGACTTCTACGCCGAATGGAGGGGTCAAAAATTGAACCTGGCAGGCAGAGGAAGTAACATCGAAATGCGGACGCCTGCTGTCTCGAATAAACACGATCCGATCGGACAACCAAAGTCCAAAACGTCGATGAAATCTTTGAGCAGCCCTAGAAGCCGCGAAGTTGAGAAGACCGGGGACGTTGTCGTAATTAAAATCGCCGAGAGAAAGACCAACGAGAACGTTAGCTTGCACAGGTACAACGGAACGAGGCGCCCGAAATCAAAGCCGTCGACGAAATCGTTGAACATCCAAAGAATCCGCGACGCGGAGAAACTTTCGGACGCCGCCGCGTACAAAATCAATGAGAGAAAGACGATCGACAATGCTCGCTGCCACGAGAGAGGCAAGCTGCTCAAGAAGCCCACGCAGAGCGTGAACTTCGAACAATGGAAGCCGATGATGTCCCGACAGAAGTCCCGCGTTGCCAACAATCAACAGCCGGTGTGGAGACCAGGTGGTGCGGTGAAACTTCCGTCGTCGAGCAGCGCTACCGCGTTGACGCAAAGAAGTCGGCCGTTGCTTCCGCAAGCCAACGAGAAAGCGAATCAACCGACAGAATGTATAAAGTAAGAATTTGTTGCCGAATAAAATAGATATGATAAGACTTAATACACCGTCGATTTCAGGGAGCATCCGAAGCACGGACGACCCGGCGAGCCCAGAAAGAAAGTCGGCACTGAAACGTGCTCGGCGAAGTGCAGAGCGCATAATTTACCGAACGATTTCTCTAAACAATCGAGCAGCAGAAGATGCGCGACGTATCCAGAACCTGCTGTCAAGTACAAGTTGAAGTCAAGGCCATTGAAAGTGTGTTTCAAGCAAGACAGCGAGTCTTCCTGTCGATCGGAGTCGTCATCCCCCGAAAGGATCGGTCGACAGAAGAACTCGAAGGAAACGAAAGTCCTGAAACTTCTGGAGGAAATTATCAAATCTACGCCAAACGATAAGAAAGAGAAGAAACATGCGAACAAGTCGCTGGTTGGTAATCATCAGATTCAAGTGGGTTCGACTGAACCGGTGAAACCAATTTCGATCGAAGAAGAAGCTGAGATCTCGCAGGATGAGCCTACGAGAGACATCGATCCGAATCAAACGAGCCGATCGAAATGCGCTGAGATATTTCATGAAACTCCGCGATCGGCGCAGAAGATGCCTGAACGTCCTCTGTCATCTACTGTGACGAATTCGTCTTCCATTTCCAATATCAAAAATCAGACCACTGATTCTAAATTGGACATCCAACTTGAAAACGCTCAGGCGAAGAATAGTTTCAGTTTAAAAGCTAGTTCAGATTGTACATCCAAAAACGAATCCTCGAACACCTATCACAGCTCCATGAACCTTGAACCTTTATCGTCGGATAGAAAGCAGCAGGAAGATGAACTAGAAACGAGTAAAAATTTGACGATAGTCAAAGAAGGAAGATCCAAGAATCCGTCGTCGGTTAACGAAGAGAGATCGGAAAATCCGACAGACATTGACGTAGAAATATTAAAAAATTTATCATCTATTGACGAAGAGAGATCGAAAAATCCGTCATCGGTTAACGAAGAAAGATCTAAATATCCGTCGGACGTTAACGAAGAAATATTGAAAAATCTATCATCTGTTAACGGAGAAGAATCGAAAAATCCGACAGATATCAATGAAGAACCATCGAAAAATCCATCATCCATTAACGAAGAGAGCTCGAAAAATCCGTCATCGATTAACGAAGAAATATCGACAAATCCGTCGTACATTAACGAAGAAAAATTTAAAAATCCGTTAGACGTTAACGAGGAAATATTGGAAAATCTATCATCTATTAACGAAGAGAAATCGGAAAATCCGACAAAAATTAACGAAGAATTATTAAACAATCCATCATCTATTTACGAAGAAAAATCCGAAAATCCGTCATCCATTAACGAAGAAAAATCGAAAAATCCGTCATCCGTTAACAAAGAGAAATCCAAAAACCCGTCATCGATTAACGAAGGAAAATCCAAAGATCCGTCGTCCGTTAACGAAACAACGTCAAGCACGAATTCGCGCGCGACGTCGTTAACCGCATTGAAGGAATTTCTTCGCGAGCAAGGTGTGGATGTTAATTTGTTGAACAGGGCTGAACAGTGTATGAGGGACAAGCGGAAGTGTCGCGGCTGCTTGAAGGCGAAGTCCGTGAGTTTAGCAGACGTTGGAGCGTCCGACAAGCAACGGGACAAACGTCGGGAACCGTCGGCGCAGAGTTGCAAGGAGACGGAGATACTGGAGAAGATCATGAAAATTTGCGAACGAAGACTGATAGCCTCGGAAAACGATAAAAATAAATCGAATAAAAATTGTGAAGAGAACACGAGGCTTCCGGAGAAAAGGGACACCTCGACGAGCACAGAGACGAGGAACGAGGATGCGTGTTCTCAGACGATTCCTCGGGAAACGGAGACGAAGAGTATACAAATCACCGTCGAAGAGGATGCCGCGTTGACGAAAAAGCGAGAGAAAGGAACGATCGAGACACAAACGGAGATCATTTCGATCAGACACGCTGCGACCGATTGTCGCACGGAAAATGCGACGAAAGTTGAAAGTAAAGATGCCTCGTCGATGACGGAGTCGACTGCGGTTAGAGACAGCGTCGCGGAAACTGTGCAAGTGTCTTACGTTTCGAAAATGACAGCGACCGACAGGATTTCGGAAAACATTCGAGATCATTCTCGCCGGAGTACTACAAATTTGACGGAGATATGGAGCAAAATGAATGTCAAAGAGGACCGACGTTTGACAGGGAAGCGCAGTCTCGAGCGATTGAGCAAGACGGAAGATTCGAGCGACGGATCTCCGTCGGTCCGCGATCGAGACGACGGCGAGCAAGATTTTCGCGAGTCGGACTCGTCGACGTCCTCGAGTTCCTTGCGACAATTCCCGCCGCGGTGTTCTCCAAATTGCAATTGCAACGCGACGATGGATCCGGAGTTCGATTATCTCGGCGGAACGGTTCCTTGGGAGACGATAGCGGCTCTACAGAGCGCTACGATCCGGGCAAGGAGCCTGTACAACGCTATTCACGTCTACCAGCAACGAATGGAAACGAGATGCAAGAAAGAGAGAAAGCTGGGAGAGAAAGGCGACTCGGAGAGATGCGAGCGGACGTCGAAGAACCTGTCACGAATCGACAGCATCGATATCGTCGTGGAAGACAGTTATCGTTCCTGCAAGCACGACGTCGAGATTTCGTCGCGCGCGGATGCGACGTCATCGAACGACGACGAGTCTGAACGCGAAAATTCGAAAGCCGCGTCAACGTCCGTCACGAATATTTCGCGGGACGGAAGGAATGTGTCCGATGATGGCGTTGATGCGGGAATTTCGAGGAAATCGTCTGGCGGTGCTGTCTTCGGGGACGCGGGCTCGTTGATGGAGCTGTTGATTCGGAAAATGGATGACGGGAAAATGGGGGAAATAGATTTCGTGCGGACGGTCTCGAGCAGAACGTGCTCGAAGATTCGCGTCGAAGTTCCGAGAGCGGAGAACGAGAAAACGGAGAGCACAATGAAACCGTTCTCCAGGCAAAGCGTGCTGATGCTTGTTTACGGCGTCGTGTGCTCCATTGTGTTCTGGTGCCTGCAGTTCACCATCACCTGCGACGTCGTTGCGTGACCGGTGCCGTTCTTCTACGATTTATTTATCCTCCGTTTTGTTCGTCCCGTTTTTGTTGGTCCCGTTTTATTCGTCGCTGTTGCTTCGTCCCTTTTTGCTTCGTCCCCTCTAAACGTGTTGTCACGTTGCTAGATTTGTAGTTCGATTATTTGCGTCGATTAAATAACGTGTTTCGTATGCACACAGAGTAATAGAGGATAATGCTATCAAACAAACTGATCGCGAGACCGATTATTAAACGACCGAGATCGATCATCCATCATCGTTCGCGATGCCATCCTCGATTCTTCTCACGGAGAAACGCGTGAGTTCGACGCCGGGTTATTTTTAGGTTCGTCGCGACCGCTTCGATTAGGTAATCTCTTTCTTCGGGAATGATGTCACGCTACATCGTAACAGAGAATCGACAATCGTAGCCCTGATAGGCTCTCGCGCCTTGCCATTCAGGTTTTCCTTGTGTTTCGCTATCACTCGCGAAATGCATTATTCATCGGAACATTTGCATCTTGATAAACAACGGAAGACGGCGGTCGTTTTGCGGAAGAATATATTCTTTTCCGAGGCATTCTGGAAACGACGAAAGGTGTCCCTAAAGGTATCGAAGACTCGATGTTTTACACTGTGCAAGACGCGTGACGAATTTTTTGAAAATCCGTCGAACATTCAAACTTTGCACGAAGATGTTCTAAGTGTTTTTTAGACGGTCGTTTATTAAGTTTCGGTGCGGTGCAACCGTGGCAGGGTATAGAGAAATAAACAATTGTATACAAACGTAAGAAACGACGTTGCAGAAGGCGAGATGCAGCGATCGTTAATGCGAATATGCTCTCTTTAATGCGAAGTGTGAAAAGTAATCGATACGTATGAAACCTGGTTGAAATTATTCGATACGTAACTGAATATTTCTGTAACAATTGCAAACAGTTCGACGCGCGTGCGTCAACACGCACGGATGAACGATTGAAGTGGTTTTCAAACTGGTGTCATTCGAATGCGAAATCGATTCTAAAACGCACGGAAATATCGATGATTGAGAAAATTCCGGGTGCACATGCGTCGACGTACATGGGCAAATAATTCAAGTATTATCAGAACAATTCAAGTATTATCTGATTCGAATAGAAAAAGTCTAATTCTAAAACGCGATGAAACATCGATAATCGTCGAAGTTTAAGGCGCGCGTACTATATCGAGCATACACACGGAGCTCGAGTATTCTTGGAATTGGTCAAGATTAAAATACAAAATTAATTCTAAAACGCGATACAAAAATATCGATAATCGAGTGATTAATCGACGTTCACTCGTCTGGGTCGAGGACGTCGACGGAAGCGGATCCTGTGATGTCCACCAACTGCTTCGAGCTGAAGGTGGCGATGATCTTTTGCGATCCGGATTTCTGCGGAATCAATTGGTGCTCGACGTAAATATGCTCTTCGGGTTCAACGTTACGGAACACCAACGTTTTGTTCTTCGAGAGGCCAGGCCCGGCGTAATTGAATTTGCAGTCTGTCAACACCCTCCTCAACGGGTTTACGAAACTAAGGCTGATGGTCGATGGTTTCCCGACAGTTGGATCTCCCTCGATCTGAAAAAACATTTACATTCGTTGATTCGAAAAACGCGTTAGCTTGGTAATTGACACACTATGCGCGGAAGAGGTGTTAATGGCTTTTTAAAAAAAATTTGATCTTCTTTAATTTCGTTATACATTCGAAAGAATTTCTCTGTGAAATCCTAAAAATTCTCGCCACACAGTCGATTGTTTTACCTTGATCGTGATGTTGGGTAATTTTATTACATGATTAATAATATCATTATCAATATTATCAATATTGAATATTGTCAAATATTATATAATAATATTATATTATATTATATTATCTAATAATATATATAATAATAATATTATAATAATATTATATTATATCAAATATTATATAATATTATCAATATCAATATTATCAATATTATCAATAAAATTAATATTAATAAAATTAATATCAATAGAATTATTACTAATATTACATAATTAATAAAATAATAATTATTACATAATTATGGGACACCGTTTATAATTTATAAAAGTCGAGAAAGAAAGAAAGAAAGTTGAAGCACTGGCCTAAGTCGATTGTTTTACCTTGATCATGATGTTGGGTTATTTTATTACATGATTAATAATATTATTATCAATATTATCAATATTGAATATTGTCAAATATTATATAATAATATTATATTATATTATATTATCTAATAATATATATAATAATAATATTATAATAATATTATATTATATCAAATATTATATAATATTATCAATATCAATATTATCAATATTATCAATAAAATTAATATTAATAAAATTAATATCAATAGAATTATTACTAATATTACATAATTAATAAAATAATAATTATTACATAATTATGGGACACCGTTTATAATTTATAAAAGTCGAGAAAGAAAGAAAGAAAGTTGAAGCACTGGCCTAAGTCGATTGTTTTACCTTGATCATGATGTTGGGTTATTTTATTACATGATTAATAATATTATTATCAATATTATCAATATTGAATATTGTCAAATATTATATAATAATATTATATTATATTATATTATCTAATAATATATATAATAATAATATTATAATAATATTATATTATATCAAATATTATATAATATTATCAATATCAATATTATCAATATTATCAATAAAATTAATAT